TGCGGACGACGAGACTGACCATGATCACACCGCAAGCTCCACTCACCACCATGGCAATGCTGGTGGCTCCATCAGCAAAGAGCGGAAAAAGTTGGGAGTGCCTCGCTCAAAGTCTCGACGGTCTATGCTATCGCAGCCAGGTCCGGGAGGCAGTTCGTCCAGCTCCTCGAGTCACTCGCTGATAGGTAGTAAGCACCGCGGCGGGTCTAAGAACCGCCTCGCTCATCACGCCTCCACCTCAGGCAAGAAGATAGAGCTGCGACGAAAGTCGTCGACAAAAGGCCGCATTCTCGGCATTGCGACTACCGACTCGGAGAGCCATGGATCGGTGATGCAGTCGATGGAGTCAGGCTCGCACTCCCATCGCTCGAACAACTCCGACAGCTCCGATTATCAGGAGACGGCGGGCTCCATCACTCCTCGTACTGATGACTTCAGTACCGATCGGCGCAACAGCAGGTACTTCGAGCACAATGGACACGTGAGCACAGCGGCGACTCACGTGCATGAACCATCGAGCAACAGCAAGACACTTCGCATCTTCTTGCTGCTGGGCGGGGACCACGACGGTGCCATTTGCTGCACGCTTTCGTTGAAGCTTGCAACCCGCGAAATTGTGGAGAGCGAGGGGACTTACTACTCAGCCGCACCGAGCGAAATCACGCGACTGATGCCCATGCTGCCCACGCAAAACAGTCTCACCAACGCGCTGCTGCTGCTCAAGAAGTGCGTGTCGATCAAACAGGAACGCGGCTTTGAGCTCCGCCCCGCTAATCAACTGGCTGTCGTGGATGACATGCTGCTTAAGCTCAAAAAGCGAGAGCCACGCTTCAGCATCGCTCTGAAGCCCGGGCCCAGAGCATCACTTGCCGCCGCGTCAACGGTAAATCTGAGTCCAGCTAATCCAGCAAACACCACGAAGGCGGAGGAGGAGGAGGGAGGAATATTCACTTCGTCCTCTTTGGACTTGATTCCTGCTTTGAAGATTGAATCCCGCCCAATTTTGTCATCCCCGCCACGGCAGCAGAAACCTCTCTCTCTTCCCAAGCCTGCGTACAAGCATCAATTCGAACTTCCGAGCAACTACAGAGATATAGTCGCATCGTGGGAGGTCTCCAAAAGCGACGTATATGCATGGGTCCACGCTGTAAACGCCGCGTCGCCACTGAAGCCGGCTTCACCGCTCCGCACCAAAACAAAACCCCATCGAAGTGGCCACCTCAGTCCGCTTCGACTTCCGCATAGACACGACTATTAGAGGACCACAGTCGTCGCCCAGAAACCCAACGCAATGCACTCTTCATCGTAACTCTTCGTTCTGCGTCACACATAGAAAAACGGCATTCCTTCAAAACCCTCAGATCAGTTACTTATTAGCGTCCTCGGGATGGATAATACGCCGCCCGCTCGTCGCCTTAGACGATTTCTTCTTCACGAATTTTGACGCAAGCGGGACATTGCACTGCTCCAGCTTGCAGTTCATAGCGTGGTACGCAAAGAGCTCGGCCGTGATCCGTGCGAGTCGGTAGGAGCGCCATTTGTCGCTGTGCGATGCCCAACACACGCTGCGCAGGAAGCGCTTCATGTGGGGACAGAACACATGGAATTCCGCGTCCGCGCACTTGACGTCGTCGCAACTGCACGCGTGAACGAGCAACGCGTTTGCTGACTCTGGGTTTCCTTCCAGCGCCTGAGAGATCTGTGCACAAGATAACAATCGTTAGCCAGCACAAACTCGTGAAAACAATAGCAACCGCGTACCGGGAATGATGCCGGTCCATCTGCCCCTCCATCCGCTGCCGCTACGTCGCCACTAGTCGGCGCCTCTGGCTCCGTCTCGTTCGTCTGCACTGCGCCAGCATTTTCCACTGCTGCGCCTCCAGCCCGCAGCTGCTCCGCCATCACCCGCACGTCCACCGCAGCGCTAGCCGCTTCGGTATCCGGATACTTGACCCGGCACTTTGGACAGTACCACGTGCCCTCGGGCACCTTGGGCAGCGGCGGGCTCAGACAGAAGACGTGGTACTCGGCGTCGCAGTCGTCGCAGAGCACAATGTCGCGCTCGCGCTCCGAGCTCTTGCACACCTCGCACACCGTGTTCTTGTCCTCCTCTTCCGCCTCCTCTGCGTCTGCGTCTGCGTCCATCTCCACGTCGTTGTCTGCAGCTGCAGCGTTGTTCTCTATTGGCTCCTGCTGCTGCTGTTCCTGCTGCGGCTGCTGCGACGCGTCCGACTCAAAGTCGCTGAGCTCGTCCATGGGGTTCACCTCGCGCATGTCCACCTCGCTGGAGGACTCGCTCTGGTAGCTGCTCGGGTCGATGAACTGCGGGCTTTCATTGCTGCCCTCGGACGGCGGAGCACGTGCAGTAGCTCTACTGCCTGTCCTCGTTGACACCATGCTTGTATCGCTCGGTGCTGGACCTACTCATTCAGCGGCGGTTGGGCAAAATATAATAGGTGGTTAGCAAATTAATGTGATTTGGGCCAGAAATGTGATTTGGGTACGCACGTTCGGATTTGACTGGCGGCGCGTACCGGGAGCCGCCGCGGCCCACGCTGGAGGACGGCGGCGCCGCGCCCGGCAGCTTGGCGATCGTGCGCTGCACGAACGCGTCGATGCGCTGTAGGTCCGGATCGCGCGCCACGGCCGTCTCCCAGTTGTACAGCGTTGACGAGCTGGCCATTTTGAGCAAAAAGCAATACTAGTGGTTCTCACGGTTGGTAGATTTGCAGGTTTCAGGAAGATCTAACCAATCAGCGTAAACCTGCAGGTGTGTTCAGAAAGTGCATTGCAGGTTAGCCAGCATACTTTGTGACTTGCTGCAGGTTTGCAGGTAAATCCTATTGGCTGATGAAACCTGCGGACCTGAGAACCACTAGTCCAAAGTCAATAATATGGTCACTCAAATTGATCAGTACATTTAATATTATTGAAGATACCGTCGGCATGTTGCGCGTCGCTTACGAAGGAGAGCGAGGTGCCATTGTAGTTCTGCTCTTGTTCTCCCCGCCATCCCCCACGCACTGTGCGCTCCACCAGCCGGCAAGGGCATTTACCTAACTTTAGATGGCTCCAGCTTACCTTACACAAAAGGAGGATCTACGACAGGTGCAGTCCGTGCAAATTTCTCCGAGGGCAACTCACCCCTCAATCACTGAGCTACGGTATGATTGTGCGTCCGGGGACCCGAGCGAACGACCGACCGCTGTCGAAGCGTTATACAAACTGCAAGCTTAGCTTTAGACCAGGGCTTTATACCATTAACTGGGGGAAAATATGCGGGCTACGGCTTGCAGGTGTACGCCCGACTACTTCGTGCTAAGGAAATAGCTTTCATGACTATCCGGATACAGATAGACATCAATGTGTACACTACAGTACTATTTTCTCTTTTTTTACCTGCTTTGGCTACAAGCGTCGCTCATAGCTCTGTCACTGTATTCGCGAAAGCCGAGGAAGTTGGATACGCGATCGCCGATGACATTCGTTCACGGACGCGCTGATGACGATGGCGGCTGGTATCCATAAATCTGCATGTCGAGAACTGGATGGCACAGTATATTGGTGCACTTCACCAACTCTGTGCCCGAGTGCGGTAGATATTTGCTCAAAATAGCTACGAGGTGATCGTGGTGACCCTGGCATGCATTGTACTTAAGAGCAGACCAAGGCCACTTTGGCTACAATAGGTACTCTGCGACTTTAATGAGCCCGAGGTGTGCTCAACTCCACAGACGGCATAGATAGGTGTGTTAGAGGTGGGTAGTAATCACCATTTCCGTGCATCAGGTCGTCGTCTGTACGCGGCAGCAACTTGCCGAATAATTCCATACCAAGTGATGCAACAACTCCTCTCCATTCCCGAACCGACCTACAAGCACTCAAGGCGTGAAGAGCGTTCTCAATCGGGCCTGGGATCACCAGCATGCGTCAGGGATGCTTCTTTCTGATAGCCGTCGCCTTCGCTGCATGTATCCAGGCTTTTGCTATCGCCGAACAGGCCAACGCAATTGCAAGCCTCCGAAGCAGCAGTTAAACGGGTGACGGAGATGGCACCACCAATGCTGAGGCCGAAGAGAGAATGCAGACGCAAAGTGAACTCGTTTTCTACCAAAGAGTCCAGTGTTGTCAAGAAGTTGAAGGAGTATCCGACCTTGACCAAGACGCTGAGCGGCAATCCATCGCTTCTCAAGCCTTTCGAGAACAACCCTCAGCTTGTCAAGACGTTCGAGAGCTTGCAAAAGGACACGGCTCTAATGGCGAGGATGGAGAGTTTGAAAAAGAGTCCTTCCATGGACAAGCTCAAGACGGTGATCAGCAAGAATCCGAGCGCGCTGACGGAGGAAAGAGTGGAGAAGCTTGGTGCGGCCGTGCTGAAGAAACGTTCTAGCAGATTATCAAGCGAAGACGAACGGGGCTTTTTGTACGCGTGCGGCACGATGTTTTTATTCACACTTGGCGCAACGATTACACTCGCGCTAACCGCAGGATCAAGGTTGTAGTCAGGCTTCGAGACAAAGTCATAAACATCAGAGCGCCTGCGTGCCCTTGATCACCTCGCCCGTCGTGCCGTTCTCGCTGATTTAATCGCCCTCGCGCAGCAGCACCTCGGTGCCGCTCGACTTGTGGAAGCGCATCGTCTTGGTCTTGGCGTCGATGGACACCGCGCGCGCAGCCACAAAGGCACGCTTCGCCCCAGCCGCGGGCCACCACGGCTGCGTGGGACGTCATGCCGCCGCGAGACGTGAGGGCGCTCTCGGCCGCGTGCAAGCCGCCCACTTCCTTGGGCGACGTCTCCTCACGCATCAGTATACACGCGAACCACGCCTCCGCGAGGGTCGCCGCGAACACGATCTTGCCCACGGTTGCGCCCGGAGATGCCGGCAGGCCTCGGCACAGCACGTCCTTGCTCCACCACGGCCTCTTCCTCCGTTATCAGCTTCTAGCGCCAAGCGGCGGAGCCCGTGTGCTTGCAGTTGCGCGTCTGCGTCCTGCACCGTGAACTCCGTGCCCTCCACGTTCTTGAAATGCACCTCCAGCATGTAGACGGTCTCGTCGTGCTGTCTCTACACGGTCGACAACTTCTGCGCCAGCTCCGAGATATGTAGACAAAAGCCTGCACGTTCACGGCCGTGCCCTTGATCCTCCTTGCAACAATGGTATTATAATATCCAGCTCAAACACAAACTTGAAACGTTGATCTTCACATCGATATTGCTGGCGATGTTGCACGATGTCAATGCTGTCAAGCACGCAACTTAAAGACGCTGGCCGTTACGTTGCAGGATATCAATGTATCAAACTTTTCTGAGGCCGCCTAACGAGTATGCCTACAGAAACGGACGAGCCGCTTCGAGAGTTGCGTTCAAGTTGGTGTCAATGAACGGGACCGGTGATTTCTCCCCGAAGTCTGCCTCACCTAGCGCGATCCGCGCTTCTTCGCTCAACTGCTCCCACATGACGAGATCTTGGAGTTCGCCAGTACCCCTTGCCGTAGTCGGTCGCAGCGTGTGAAAGGAATCGCGTTGGAAATAAGGCTCGTACGAGAGCATGGGGGTCGTCATGTTGATATACTCGGCGAACTTCGGGTCGCAACCGTGACGAGAGCACTCTGGCGGTTCGTTCTTCAAAATGACATACCCTCCTTCCAAGTTCCAAGTCGAGATGGCGAGAATCTTGGGGGTCTCGACCGCAGGGTTGTCCAACCACACTACGGCGCTGACCCATTTGTGTCGTTGGCCCTTGGCTAAGATGCCGCCAAAGCCTTTATCCTTGGGGAAGTACCAGCCGTACACGATGGCCCAGAGATCCTTGTACCATATAGCTCGTCCATACACTTGCGAGCCGAGACCGGACCCCTTGCATTTCCCGTCGTCAGGTCCACTTCCTTTTAGCCCCGCGCTCGTTTCACCCGCAGCGTTGACAGCAGGGTACGGGTGGCATCCGCCGTCGATCTGGAGACTCGGTTTGAATTTTACAGCGGTTTTCTCGGACACGGTGACTGGCTCGGGCTGCGCAAACGGCTGTACCTTGTCGTGGTCGATAGTGACAGCCCCCGCAGCGCTGAAGGAGGCGATGGCGATTGCGGAGAGAAGAAGAGAGCGTAGGATCATGGTGTGGCTTGCAGTGCAGGAAGGCGGTGAATCTGAAAGTGAACATTGCTTCCCGAAAGGCTTGCGATCAAACCGAGAGTCGGTTGTCCCATCTTTCGCAGCATCATGCTGGGGCCAACGAGGGAGTACCCTCTACACCGTAGATCTAACAAAAACACCTGAAGTATGCTTCAGCACCGTAGTTCCTCGGATTTGCACCACAGAACAACTATCCATACCTCTTTGTATACCAGCTGGTTGCAAAAAACATGTGTCCGGGTTCACTCATTACATATTGTACTGTAGACCTTAAAACGAGTTTGTCAGCGCTCTATCAGACTCTTAGCACTACAGTAATCTGCTTGCTCAGCGAACAGGCAGAACCTTATACTTTTTGAGAAAACATGTTTCCCGAATTGTACCACACTTAGGGAGATGTATTGTTTTAGTGAACGGTGGAGTCCCAGATGAAAACTATCTCCTTAGAGCGTGTTCGCTAGGTAGCTGGAGATGGAGATGACCTCTCATCAAATCTATTTCTTGTCTTTTGATTGGTCAAAATAGTTTAGTTCACAACGTGACAACTGGAAAATTACTTCGTCTCTTTCTCCAGCTGGAGAAGGAGAAAGTAGCTGGAGATTGAGGCAGTTCAGCCGCACACACAATGAACGAAGAGGAAGCTGTACTGGTTGCTACATGCTCAGCTGTCGCACAGGTTGCAGTCCTCCTATCAGGAGAATCCGACGATGCGCCGCAAGGCCCTAAGGAACAGATTCGTACCGTGACCTCACTGCACTTTGAGCCCATGCTACAGTCAGCCGCGTATGCAAGTTGGTTTGAAGACAATCTTCGCTGCACCAAGCCAACTTTCCTACGTATTGCTGGTTTACTACGAGATCAAGGTGTTCTGTTTGCTGCTGCCAAAGTACGGCAGCATAGCTTTGAGAAGAAAGTTGCAGCCGTGTCAAAACGAGCCCTCAGCAGGGCAGCTGCTGCAGTCGTCCACGCAAAGGAGGGTTGCTTCGTAGCGATAGACGTTTCACCAGTATTGGCCTTCTTCTTCTGATTCCCAACGCGGCGATGTGAGTCTTGGTTGCGGGCTGACGCAGCTACAACTCCGAGCGCAAAACGCTGGCTGGGTGTCTCTGAATGCGGCAGCGCCAGCGAGGAAGTGCGGGCATCCAGCTCCGTTTGAGTAGTGGCCGGTGTCGCATACACAGTCTGGACAAGAGCAACATCAGAGGCAGGTATGTCCAAACTGGCAGCAGCCAGCACGAGGTCGCCACTGGCTGACGGGAACGGAGGCGCAGCTCTCGGAGCGTCATCGGCAGCTTGGTCCATCTTGCCACGCGTCCGGTGTCTCGGCACAGTGTTCCCGGCCGACGAAGAACAGCAAAGTAAGGAGAAGGAGAGCGAGTCGCACTGTGATTGGCTAATTTTACCTAGATACGCTCTGTTGTAGCGAACAAGCTGGAGATGGAGATGCACCAACTCCCTATCTCCAGCTGCGTAGCGAACACGCTCTTAGCACGAAGGAGTTGGGCGTACACCTAGCCCACACATATTTTCCCAGTTGTTAATGTTATGAAAGGCCCTGGCCTAAAGCTAAGCTTGCAGTTTGTATAACACTTCGGCGGCGGTCAGTCGTTCGCTCAGCATACCCTAGCTCAGTGATTGAGGGCGAGTTACCCTCCGAAAAGTTTACACGGATTGCAACTGTCGCTACGCCTTGAAACAGCGTGGCATCTGAAAGTAGCTAGATTTTTCTTTTTTCACTGAGGTGTAAGATAAGCTGTGCATATCCAACTCGGACAGAACGACTCCAAACGAGAACATGTCGGCCTTCACGTCGCATCTTCCGCCCAGCATGACTTCTGGAGCCATCCAAAGGGAGATGCCCTTCCCGAAGCTGAGCCATTCGGGTCCAGTCTGCTCTTGTACGTTATCAAGCCGGAAGCGAATCCACCCAAACACGAATTCGTGACGCGAAACCCGACGGTAAATTCGTATGTGGAGCAGCTCTCGTCAGAATTCAAGTCCTGGATAATGTACCCCGAGCTGCCAAAATAATTGCGTATATGAAGGTAAGGGTAGGATCGTAGGAACGTAAAGAAGAAGAAGAATGTGAGGTGGAGCCGCCAAAAGGCGAAGTAAAGTTTATTAGTTGAGAGAGCTCCTGCCAGAAAGCAAGAGATGGCTGGTGCGGAGCATATTACTATGGGAGACTGTATAACATACTACATACCACAATAACAGCTTTAAGAGGGACTGAGTAACTGGCTATCAGCTTTTAGGGAACACTGTGCCATCGGTTAAAGAGGTTACTTCAACTCTTTAGATCGAGTTTTGCCCAACTAATATTATGCAGTTTAGCAGGTCACCAGAAATAGTGACAGGTGATTCCTCAGTCTCCAAAAAGACCAGTGCCGTGGACGCCCGCGTTTGTTGACGGTCCTTTGTGCTCGTAGTTTTGCTACGACTGAAGGACCGTCACGCTGGGCACGCCATGGCCCGCGTCTTGGAGTTAGGCATGAGAAGGGCGCCGCCCTTGGGTTCGCGCCAGTGGGCTGGCGCCAGCAAGGTCACTCAAGAAGCGGACGAACATGTCGCGACCGAGGTATGAAGCATGAAGATGCCCAGCGGGCTGCGGCAGTGAGCACAGCGCTCTTGAAGGCCTTGAGAAGCAGTGAAGGCATGGCTGCGGGGGCCAGGGCGAGCAGGGCCGCGGGGGCCAGCGCAGTGGTGGCGCATCAACGTGTGGTGTGATGTCACTAAAGTAAATTTGTAAATAGTGACACCCGAGAAGCTGCTGTTACCGAATGATGCTGTTGCAGACTAGCCAGTCGCTAATAGCGACTGTCGATACATAGACCCAAGCACCCCACGAGCTGAGCAGGAGCGCTGCTCGCGTGAAAGAGCGCGAGCAGCAAAAAGCCTGCGATGGGATTTGGGCGCTCTTTCGTGATCCGATTCGACAGGGGAGCACAACGAGCGCGCTGGAAAACAACAAGATTTCACTGGCTAAAAAACAGCGCAAATATACGGAACCCTAAAAAAATCAGCAGCAAGCAGGAGGAAGCCCACCGCCGCGTGCCGCCCACAGACGTCGCCAAGAGACCCGAGTGCTACTCCGCCGTCCCGTGCAGGAGAAGGTGGAGCAGTAGCAGCAGCGCCAGCGCGAGCACAAGGAGTACGAGCAGCCGCCCGCAGTGCGAGGCCACCACCGAGAGCTACCTGCAGTAATACTCTGGCTAAGATGCAAAACGAGCACGATGCGCGCACGGAGGCAGCCCTTACCAGTCGTTTGGAGACATTGAACGTCCAGACCCAGGAAGAAATGCGCAGGATCCATGGCGAGGTCGAAGAAATGAAACGGGTTGAAACAGAGCGGCAGGGTGCAATTGATAACGTTTTGGAGACGTTGGTCACGCAAATCGCCGCTCTGGGAGTTCAGGATCGTCAGATCAAGAGCGAAACCGAGAGACCCATTGGCAACATCGCACGGGCAATTGTTGACGAGCGTGTAGCCGCTGTTGAGCAGCGTGTCAACAGCTCGGAAAGTCGGTCCGATGCAAAGCTGTGTGCCATTAATGACGCCGTGAACGCTGTGGAGGCACGGTTGGGAATTCAGATGCAGCATGCGGTTCAAACAGAGAGCGATGCATTAAAGCAAGCGATTGCTGAAGACACTGCTCGACGATGTAATGAGGAGCGTCAAGCTACTGAGGTAGCGATGTGCAATGAAATGTCCGGTGCGGCGGCGCTCCTTGAGGAACGTGTCCTCGCAGCTGTGCAAAAGAAAATCGACGAGGTGACAGCACAAGTTGCGCAACAGCACGACCGCCGTGGCAACTGGCATGCTGAGATCATGACGGAGCTGGAGGAGTTAAAGACAAGGCTGGGTAGGGTGGAGAAGCAGGCCGAAGCCGACAGCGAAAAGAAGTGTGCAGCATGTGAGCAGCAGCTAGACACGTACCGCCTATCACCTAAGCTTATAACAGCGCGTGCTGACGGTGTACCAGCTTGAGAAGATGGCGAAGCTCGACCTGAGCGTTCATGGTTGCGCAGCATGTTGAAGAGTATGTTTGCAGAAGCGAAAGCAGAAATGTTTCCTACAAAATCTTCGCAGCCAAGTCTAAAAGAAGCCCTACCCGAGGGCAGTGATCAATACGCAAAGGTAGCCCCCCATAAGCAAAGGCAGTCGACAGCCGTGGCAAAACGTAAACTCTCTGCGGGATGCGCTCTCACCGCAGTGATCGCGGAGGTGCAGCGTGACGTGCAGATGCGTGCTGAGGCAAGGGCGGCAATCATTGAACTCAAAGTATGTGTATATGAATTTGCTGTTATGATGTAACATGCTAACGATAATCTCTTACACCGATAGGTATCGTCGCGAATGAAAACCGTAAGGGAGCGAGGGAGAACACTCCGGGCTTCTACGACGAAACATCATTGAAGTCAAACAGTTCTGACAGACTTTTGCTAGACATCATCTCCGCCAGCACGTCGTCTCCGAATCCATCGGGCACACACTCAATCGGGTAGGACATGCTTAAGGGGACATGAGATGCTAGTTCCTCGCTGGGAATTTCCTCGCATTGAGTAAGATCAACAAAGGTCCGGTTGCGGTTTAGGAAGATGCCCATGTCGACATTGTGCTGAGTGATCCGCGTGCGTTGTGGGGTCACCATACTACCAGCGACGATAAAATCTCTCTCGATATGAGCGGGCGATGTAGGAACTGCGAACAATAATTTTGCTGCTCGTGGTAGTATCTGATATTTTTTTTTCTTGCTCCATCCGGCGCCAAAATCCCAAAACACTTTCTTCTTTGCCGTCCGCTTTGACTCCAATTGGAGTTTCATCAAAATTCCTCCGATTCAATTCATCATCAACTCGCGATCTTGGTAGGTCCTGAGTTTCAGTATGCCTACTTGTACACGAAAACTCTGCTTCTATCTCTTCCAGAAAGTCCGATCTCGGGAGCGATGCGAAATTAGAACTTGCATACTCAAAAGTAGTACGGTCCTCGGCTACTGCTGTCAAAATTTCCCGAAACTTTTCTTTAATTTTTTCGCTGACATACTCCAATCGAACCTCTGCGTCTCTCGCGCGGTGGCCATTGTCGATACAGCATAGCTTTACCACACGGTTTAAGGATTTATCAGGCCTTTTGTATGTCGGGTGAAACCGAGATTGCATCTCAAACACAAATGCAGCTGATTGAGTGAGTCTCACTCGTCTTGTAATATCTCGAACAAAGTCGTAAATCGAGCGCCTTTCGAAGGCGTTCTCGAGTAAATTGAGCCAGGTCCGTCAACTCATTTTTGGCAATAAACTTCAAGTTTTCTTTGGTCGACATGTAGTGTTTGAGAGGCTTGTCTAGATCAAGCGTGTTTAACCTTATCAAATAAAGTGCATGCTGCACATTTACTTGGTATGGTTCTTCAGCTTGACACATACGCTTAACACCCGCAATCGGCCGTAGCAATGAGAGTAGATGAACCAAATCTAGCTGATCGTCTTGTAGTGGAAAAGTAGGGGGAACTTGGTTTTCGCGAAGTGCTTTTCGTGCCCTTTCATCATACCAGGCAACTATCGCAGTCCATTTATCCAGAATCCTTCTAATTGCTGTCGTCAGACTCAAAAATCGGGCTGGATTGTAATCAAGAAGTTGGGTTGTTCCAGTTTCAATTTGTGTTCTACACAGCTCTTGAAATAAATTGCCAGTAGTTTCCACGGTGCGAACCTGGTAAATAGTCTTCTTAATCCGTGAAATCAACTTAGTCATGCCCGGATTCAGCGACTTACTTGCATCATTTCTCATTCCACATGCTTCCTTTGTCGCTGCATGGGCCATGTGCCCAACACACCATTCCCACCTGTATTTCAATTTGTTGACCAGCAAGTTTTTGGCATCAGGCCCAGCGTCGCTCGTGGCAGCAAAAACAAAATCTTTCCGAAGTCTGAAATCCTCCAGATTTTTTCCAGCCACGCCGAAAATGGACCTTGAATTCCAACGTCGCGGTCTCCATACGATGTGCTAAATTTTTGCGTTCCAAGCATCACCGATCGCATTTGCCAAAACTCATCCACGAGATAAAGCCGCAACCCTAAATATTTCCCATGAGTTGTACGACAAGTCCAAAAGTCTGTCATGATCACAAAATTCGCGCAATCGGAGCGATTACGTTCTAAGAAGTCAATTGTCTCCGCTTTGGTCGAGCTGTAGAGCTCGACAATTGCCTTCGCAATTCGCTCTGCATTTATCGTAGTCTGCATCTCTTCTCTCACCACCACCTGCCGGATTACTCGGGATTCTTCGTACTCGCCGCTACAGAAAGGCAAGTTATTGATCACGATGCGAAGGGTTTCCAGCAGCAAATGAAGGCGTTGAAGGTTTGTTCGATACAAATTCGACGAGAGCAGCCGTTCAACCGTTTCATCTCGCTTTCGTTTTCCTTCAACTGCAGCCGCAGTTTTCTTCGACGAGATTCGATGCACCTTTCGTAAATGCTCTGTTGCTCTAGATGTTCTTGCTCGTGACAACACCAACTTCACACCTGCCTGTCGACACGCCTCGTCGGCAAGACACACCCAGCCAGTTTTCACTTCATCATTGTCGATATACTCTACGCGTACACCCCACTCAAAAATGAATGACTTCTCCGTGACAGTAGGTGGTTTAAGCGTGTAGCCCGCAGAGGGTTGATAGGCTTGAACCGCCTCACGAACTGCAACAGGTGGTCGAACCATGCCAACAAGCTCTCTGTTACCACCCACCACCGTCCTTCGTGTTTTCTCCTACCCAACGCAATGGAAATGCTCGCGATTCTCTTAGCGACGTCTGCGGGCGGCACGCGACGGTGGCGGCACGTTCAAGCTGTGCTGAATTAATTTATTTTGCCCAATAAGGGGGATCCGTAACGAGCGCTGCTCGCGGGGCGATCGCTGGTGCTCGTTGCGTTCGTATTTAAATGGGGGAGCTGAAAAACCTCATAGTTCGTGCTCGCATGGCAGGCACGAGCGCTTACATTGGGGTTGTAGTGCTCTCTTGCCCCTCTGCTCGTGGGATGCTTGCATAGACCTCTTGCCTCAAGACGCCGATAGTAGCTCGAGTGTACGCGGCCGTGGATGTACGCGTCTCGGAGATGTCTGCTCTTAGCTTAGCGCCTCCTACATCGAGGAACGCATCCTACAGTAGTGCTCGATGATCATGAGCAACATGATAATCATGCTATGACGTAGTTACGTCGTCGTCGTAAGGTATGCAAATGTTCATGGGTAGTTAGTTCATCATGATTAGCTTAGCGGTTTGCGCTGGTGCGATGATTATTGCATTGGCTTGGCTAGTCAGGAAACCTGATTAAAGGAAAATTCTGTTCACCAGGCCAGTATAGATTACGTGCAGTCACCGCAGATTTGGCCTTGCGTGTTTAATTGAGGCTAGTCAGGAAACCTTGCAAGGAAGGAGAAAACCTGTTCACCGTTGGTAAGTGTGCTGCAGAATATCACGTTGCAATGAGTGGCTATTCAGGAAACCTAATGAGGATAAAACCTGTTCACCTTAAAATTGTTGGCAGTATTAGCGTTGCATTCTTTTGATTTAGCAGATAACGTTACTGTTTGCTTGCAGTAGTTTAGCTTTGCTTTTGGTGATGCAGTTGGAATTCATTGCAGTATCATGACTACTCAGGAAAACCTAAACTAGGAAAAACCTGTTCGCCGTCGTACTCATAAGATAACCATGAAGGTTCAGGAGGTTGTCGTCTCACCCGCATATTATGGTTGAAAAAGGGGCTATGGCTTCCCATATTCACAGATTAATCTATAGAGTGGGCTTGTCCACTCTAGTGACATTCGCCTTTCGACGTGTTAATGTCGCTATACTTCTCCACTAGGCTACCACACACTGTTCTTGCTTTCAAATGGGTTTACATCCATGTCGCATCAGACAGAAGCTTACATTGCAGATTGAAACGTTGCATGTAGTAGTTCAATAATACGCAGTCGTAGTTGTGGTAATAGAGAGTGCACTCGTTCATTGTCTTACAGATAGATGGTGTGCAGTGGCAAGTTGGTTTCAAACATCAACAATGTCTACCGGTAGTCTGGGATAGACAGAGGCTGTATAAGCTTGTCGTATTTATTCACGGAAATATACTTGGCAGAGGCTTAGTATGCGTGCCGTTTTAATGTTCATCAAGGACAGAAGTGTTTACACTTGCCATTAATCTCATGATGTCGTATGAGTGATCGAAAGAAGCGTAGTGTTCGTGCTTGTTATAGATTTTTGACAGCGGTCATTTTCGAGCGTCAAGATGTACGATGTTAATAGTAAAACTTATACACATTTAGTGCGTGTTGCTTTGGCCAAATGCAGTATATTCATGCATTTATTTGTCGGATGCGTACTTCTCGTGCATTCCTTACTACTTATATAACAGTAGAGATAAGTGAAAGTCGTGCTTGCAGAATTCATGCTCTTAAACTCATATCGTTAATCGACGATTCGCCTTGCCATAGTGATAAGCAGAAGTAACGTCGCCATTTCAGACAAAGGCGTAGTTCGGCCTTGTCAAATTACGCTATCCGACAGAGGCAGACTTCAGGCTTGTCATGTTGAAGAAACAAAGCGTAACTCTCATCAATGAGTTTGACTGATGCGGTATTCGTGCATGTCTTGGCATGGTTACCGGTAGATGCGAACTTGTCGTGCATGCCTGTAGATTAAAAGACATAAGCGTATTCGTGCTTGTCTAATGGGCGAGTAACGGGACTTTTTTCAAGACAACCCTCTTAGAATAAACCAGAGTCATCGTTCTTCATGCATATCGCATGGTGTTCAATTTGGGAATACCGATCGGTAAGCCATTTGAGTGGCATGTTTTGCCGATGCGTGGTTAGATGACATGAAGGCACGTCTAGTATAGCATTAGCGCGCCGATGGCTTTACGGCTGAGGCGTTTGCCAGAAGCAACTTCACATTCGCATGTGCGGCGATATTCAGGGCTTATTCCTTCCTGT